TTTTTTTTTTTTTTTGCTTCAGACTGATGCGCCTGCTGGAGGAAATCATGAGCGAGAAGGAAAACAAGACCATTATTTTTGTGGAGACCAAGAAAAGGTGTGACGATCTCACCAGGAGGATGCGTAGGGATGGGTAAGATGACCTGCTTTGCTTCGCTGTGTCATGGTTGCTTCGTTTGGGTGTGAAATGGAGGGAATTCATTGGATTTTCCTGTTGCAGGTGGCCAGCAATGGGCATCCATGGAGACAAGAGCCAGCAGGAAAGAGACTGGGTGCTCAATGGTATGTGTTCGCCTTGAAGGTCTTAGCTCATCGATGCCGGTTTGGTTAATTCGCACAATTTGACTCTTTCCTACCTCAACAGAATTCAAATACGGCAAAGCGCCCATCCTCATTGCCACAGATGTTGCCTCCAGAGGACTAGGTTTGTTATTCCTTCTTAATCTGTCCTTTATCACTTCATATTGTGTTTACTATACTATACAGTTCTGCCGTTTCCTTTTAACTGCTGTGCCTTTCTGAGCCCCTCTCACCTGAAGGTGGAGTCTTGGAGGCAGGACCTTGGCATGACGCGTCCAGGTTCACCAGGAGGGGGTAAGGAGCTCCTCTGTGGAGTTCTACTTGTCTGCCAGCCAATCAAATTGCATTCAGAGGTGTTCGGAGCTCTGTGATTGGGGTGTAATCCAAGGGGCGGCATACCACGGAGGAGTGCGGTGCCGTTGAGTGGTTGCACTTGCGTCCTGCTCTTGTGCAACAGCTTGACCTGTTGAACTTTTAAGTTTAAGGACTGGGAGTTTTCTCCAAAGGAAGTGTGCTTTATGAAAATTTAGGCGGTTTTCCCGTCGAGAGCAGTTGCTTTAATCTACATGCCTCCATACTGAATGCGATTACCCGGCTGGTCGATGTGTGCCCTCCTTTTGCTGGCTTCAGTCATGTCGAGTCCTGCCAAAGAGAGTCATATTTCTTTCAAGTGAGCACCGGTTGGTTGGAAATCTTGCGTCAGCCTTAAATTTAAGACCCTTAATCGGTCTCGTTTGAGCGAGTTGTGTCTTGGCAAGATGCAGCAGTTTGTCCTGTCGCTTTTAATAGAGGACATTGTAAATTGTCGTTTGGATCCTTAAAGTCCTGAATTTTTTATTTATTTTTTTTTTAACCATCCTTTCCTCAGCATGGTAAGTCGATGACCTATCGTTCATTGTTTCCCTTGCTAACGCCTCCTATCCTCGCTGCTATGGCGGTGTGCACCCGCACTCCTCTACTCCTGCCATGGCGCGTCCGTTTTCTCTTAACAGATGTGGAGGACGTCAAATTTGTCATTAACTATGACTACCCCAACAATTCTGAGGACTACATTCACCGCATTGGCCGTACGGCTCGCAGTCAGAAAACCGGCACTGCCTACACTTTCTTTACGCCCAACAACATGAAACAGGCTCACGACCTCGTCTCGGTCCTCCGCGAGGCCAACCAAGCCATAAACCCCAAGACGCCCAACAACATGAAACAGGCTCACGACCTCGTCTCGGTCCTCCGCGAGCCCAACCAAGCCATAAACCCCAAGCTCATCCAAATGGCCGAAGACAGAGGAGGTAAATCCAATTGGTGAGATACAAGAGCTGTGCTTTACCCTCAGCCAGTTTTGTCCTTCATAATCTCTCTTTAAGGGTACGGCTTTTTTACTTGGTTCTGATCTGTTTGTGAATCCCGGGTTAACTCCGGTTTCTCTTCCAGGTCGTTCAAGGGGAGGTCGAGGTGGAGGGTATAGGGATGACCGTCGGGATCGCCACTCTGGCGGCAGGCGGGACTTCAACAGCTACGGCCAGGACAACCGCAACGGTGACTCTTACGGGCAGAAGAAGGTGTTTGGAAACAAAACTCAAAACGGATCTAGCGGTTACAATAGCAGCAGCAGTAGCAGCTTTAGCGGGGGTTACAGCAATAACGGACAGGGTAACTTCGGCAATCAGTCTGGTGGGTATGGAAACCAAGGTTATCAGAACCAGCAGTTTGCTCCCAACCAAGGGGCTGTCCAGAATGGCATGAACCACCCTCCACCGTTCCCCTTCAACCCCCAACAGATGCCACAGTCCATGCCGTTCCCCATGGCCCCACCTGCGTTCCCTCAGTAAACCCAGTTTAATTTGCTAATTTAAATCTTTAACCGTTCCGTTATTGTAACTTTATTTCTTCAGAGCAGGTTGTAAAATGTACATGCCGTCACAAGCGTCCCAGAGTCTGCTGTGCAGGATTTTTTCCCCCTCCCTCCCTTTTTATGTTAGATGTATGTTTTCTTTTTTTAGTAACTTAAAGTTATTTTGTACTATAGAGTTAATAAGGATCAACACTTGTAAAAATGTCACGGGCCATTCATGGCCATTGCATGGTCCTCAAATAAAATATTAAAAGTGGCTTTTGTGTCTGTCTGTTTGTGAGTAGAAGTTGCAGCTACTAATTCTGAATATGAATGCATCTTATATTGCTTTCTTGTACGTATTATATCAACGCAGGAGAGCAAAGACTTCTGTGTTTCGGTAATTATAGCTGTTCAGTGGGTGCTGAATGCAAAGGAACTGATGTTGAATATTATTGGAATGAAGCCTTTAAAATCACTTGTTTCTAGTAATGGCACCAATCTTAAGTGGCTATTCAAGTTTACTCAATTCTATGTTATGTACTATATACTTGTATTGATTGTTTAACAGATGTATTTCTCTGCTGGGTCATTAAAAAATGACTTGCAAAGAGCTTTTAACTCCTCTCTATCTTCAGTTTACAAAAACAAATCTTAGACACAAATGTAAGCATCACAGAAGTCTTATGGGGGGGGGGCAGGGATTTTTTTCAGCCACCTGGCCAATTCAATTAGAAATGTTCACAATATGGTGATATTAATTTTGGGTTACTTAAATTTAAAATCACTGACAAGCCAAAGAACACTTTTGAGAAGTCTTTGAGCATAAACGTCTGACACGGACTAACGCGGATGCATGCAGACTCAGTCATGAGTAACAGCGCACAACTCGGGCCGTATTTACCTTTGGATGTGAACATTAGGGTTTTAGTGATCAGATTTGACACCGATGATCTCGTCTGGTGCGTATTCAAGCATTTAACACCTACACGGTGTGAACAATGTATTCTAGGTAAGATTAAAGATTAACACTGGACCCGGATAGAATACAAATCAACATTTGCTAGACACTTTTAAAAATAAAGGTGCTTCACGGATGCCATAGAAGAACCTTTTTGTCTAAATGGTTCCATAAAGAACCTTTCTGCTTCACGAAAGGTTCTTTGCGGCGAAAGAAGGTTCTTCAGATTATAAAAAAAAAAGTAAGAAAGAGATGGTTCTTTAAAGAACCTTTGACTGAATGCTTCTATGACATCGCTGTGAAGAACCTTTTAAGCACCTTTATTTTTAAGAGTGTATCTGTCTCTTTAATGAGCCGGTATTCATATGACCAGACACCGCCTCCAGCTGCTGCAGGGAATAAGGTACTGAATTGGTATTATTCATTTGTGATTATCTGAAAATAAATCCAGATTAATTTGATGGCTGTGTGTGTGTTTATGCTATGCATTAGCATTATTTAATCACTTTCTGATCTTTTATTTTCTATTTAAAGAACACACCACTGGTTACCATTGGTTGCAATTCGACTGTTTCCAAAGCAAAGAAAAAAACTGCATATAATGTCTCTCACATACTCTTAGATCACATTAGATACATTATATTAGACAAAGCATTTTGTGTTGTGCCACTGATCTTTGAATCGTACATTTATCTTCCTCGATCTATCTATCTGTCCTCGGTGTATTCAAAGTACAATTATTTATTTATTGTATTTAATTTTTTTTTTTTACAATTACATCAAAATTAGTTTTGATTAGCTATTTTTTACTACAATTACTAACGTTTATTATTCTGTAATATACATTTCAGCTACCTGTCTCACATTTTTTTGCTTATTTTGCACTTTTTTTTTTTTTTGCACCATTTTCGTTGTTGGCAGCAATATGTAAATGTTTGGCACCAGCTGAGCATTTGGCCATGCAGGTCAGACCAGAGGAGGGCATTGATGAGCTGCAGGTATATTTAAAAGTGTGGAAAGAGACATTCTGATCAAGTGAAAATCAGTGTAATACAAGTGACCATCAATGACCTAAGAAAACAGACTATATGTATATTGTGTCACTTATATTAACTTACATATAGCACACCTGCTTAAATTTTGTGGGCATTTTTTATAATCATGGTATTTTTCTACCCCGGGCCTTCATTTATTTTCAGCCCCGTCAACTAACATTTTAACAACATCACACTATTCTGTATAATGTTGATCATTTTTGTTTTTGAAGGATCTACACTAAAAAGGTTGATGGCTGTTGCATGGTGCTTAATAAAATATAAAAAATGTTTTTTTGTATCTGTCTATTCATGCTAGCTGCAACGTACAGCTTGCAAGTCACATCTAATGTTTTAATGCATCTTACAATGCCTTTTATCAGCTGAAGGCACATTAATCTTATCATGTATATTACAGGAAATCAAATGGATTCTTGTTTTTGGTAATTATAACTATGCAGTGTACACTGAATGCAAAGGAACTGATTTTAATAGTTCTTCTCTATTTTTAGAGTTATAATTACCAAAATGAACTTGTTGACTACTTAAAACAATCATCTTTTTTAAAGACTGAATTTACATGTGAACTACAGCTCATTGTTTGCACTCTATTCAAAGTAATAAGCATGCCTTATTATTAGCAAAGATACATACACATCTATTAAATGTTTAATAAGGAATGCACAGGACACAGGATAAGTGGCCTGGCCTTTGTCCTGGTCAGTCTTACTTTTTTAATGCATCACACATTAGCTGACTCACGTACATCACAAAAAAAAAAAAAGCGCACACAAACACAAGGTACCTCAAGGACCTAAGAAAACAGACTATATTATTACTATATGTATATTGTATCACTAATAATAACTTATATATAACATAGTGCACCTGCTTAAATTTTGTGGGCATTTTTTATAATCATGGTATTTTTTCTACCCCAAGCCTTCATTTATTTTCAGCCCCGTCTAGGGGGGGGTTACTATTGTTACTATTATTTTTATGTGTGTGTGTGTCTCTGTGTCTGTGTGTTTAAGTATGCTTATTGAGTATTAATAAACTAGTTTAATCATCTCATTTCAGTGTGTGTGTGTGTCTGTGAGCATATTCTCCATATTGGATGTGTTTTACTGTCAGCCATACATCCAGGTTGGCCTAGACCCTAAAATATACCACCTTAAATGCCTTCATGTGCTTGAACCCCGGTCATTGCTGCTTGCAGCTATATTTATTATTATTATTATTATTATTAGTTGTAGTAGTGCAAATGGCATTAGTATTATTACTGCTAACTATACAATTACTGCAATTATTATCATTCTTCCTTGTCCGCCAGCCCCCTTCCCTCTTCCAGTCTTGAGGTAGGCCTAATTAGTTTATTATTTTTATTGTCATTATCAATGCCATTATTATTCGTTTCTACTATTGTTTTATCTATTATATTTTTCTAGATATATCTTATTTATTAATTATTTTATGTATATGTTAAGTATTATTATTGTTGTTGTTATTATTATTGTTGGTTGTTCTTACTATCTATTACTTTTATAGAAACTCTTAGGTTGATATGCTTGCACCCCTACGCCTATACACACACACACCTGCTCACTTACAGATGGATTTTGTTGCCTGTTGTATGTATGTATGTTTGTTTGACCTTGGTATTTTGTATTGTGCACATGTGTACAGTGTGTGTAGTGCAAACTGTGAAAATAATGTGTTTGGGGGCTTTGAAACATCTCTGCCCAGGGCACATCAACGTCACAGGCTAGTTTTTGACAAGCCAATAAAACACACCGAAACAATTGAGACATAAAGAGGGAGAAACCGAGCTAAGGAGAGAGTGGGTAAATATAATTTACCCATAAAAGTCACGCTACTTCTGTTCAGAGTCCTCGCGCCTCAGCAGGGCGCGTGCGTTCAGTTAGTTTCCTGCACGAGTCTAGTCAAGAGCGCGAGACACAGAGAAACGCTTTATTAACGCCAAACGAACTAACGGACACATGCAGGAGCAGCATGGGAAGGTCACACCTGGCTGTCAGGTAAGATACTTCACCGCAAACTCAAGCTGTGTTGGAGAAAGATTCGCTGCGTTTTCCGCCGATGGTGTTTAGATCGTAATTCTCAGTATATATGGATTCTTAGTTTCTGCATCTAATCAGTTGATTCAAGTTAGAGAGCTCATACATCATCGCAACAATGATAAAACCCGTATAAACAGTAATGTCAAATTACTTAAGTGCACTTTGTGAGTTGTCTACTTGTAGTATGGTGGTTGAAATGGCCTTTTGCACACTCACGTGTGTCATCAGGGCTGCTAACTTTTGAGCTCAACTTGGAGTTCAAAAAAAAATATATAGGCCTATATAAAACACCTGTCAGGAGAGTTTTGTCTGACATCTAGTAGTTAATGTCATGATGGTACTGTGTTTTATCATAGAATTATGTCAAATAACTTGCACTGCTGCACAACTATTAACTTTTTACCACAACAAGAATAGCAATGTACAGTGAAAGAATTGCAAGATTCACTAGTCATTACTTATAAATATATAAATAATTGCAAAACAATAAAACATTTTAACAATAAGTTTATTAACAATACAATAAAATACGAAAATTCTAATATTTTTCTATTAATTTATTAATATGCATTGCTTGAACATCTGTTTTGAGAAATCATATTTTTTCTCCCATTCGAAAATGAATCCCGCATCACTACCGAAATCTTGCTGCTTGTACAGGTGATATGGCCGTTAGCAGCACGAAAAACAAAACTTTTATTCAAATTCTGAACGGATTATATTTAGCCTAGAAAGTGCGCGAATAGCCCTTACTTAATAATGACTAAAAAGGTGTCACTTCGGTTCGCAAAAGTTCCTTTTACAGTGAGACTGAATTCTAAATTGTTCATAGAATTCTAAAATGTTGATTTGTTCTATTTTTTTTTTATGTATATACATTAGGGCTGTCAAAATGGCTGAAAAACTCAATTCAAATTTTTTTTACTTAAATATTACCAATATTCGAATTATATTCGAATTTAATAGGCATAATTTCAGTTAGGGGGGAAAAAGCTGTTGGCTTCTCTCCTGAGGCCACAAGAGGGCGCATCGAGCAAAATATTATGCACGTTTCTTCAAAGCATAATAAAATAACAGGACTATTTTTGAAAAAAAGTGCATAATGGTTAAAATTATGTTTATAAACCATATATAATTAATACATTTGCTTAAACAATTAGAAACAAAACAGCATCATGCATGTATGTATAGTTTAATACAAAGGACTGAAAACCAATCACAAAGAGTACTTTCTTAATTTAAAAACTTGAGATGCAGTGGGATGGGGAAAACCGCAATAAAGTCTTGAGACATGTTTTTTAAAAGTTGAACTTACATTCATTTTACATAGCTTTCTAAACATTGTGCTCTTGTGCGAGACGCGAGTGCAACGGTGATAGATGTCCCTCTAGAAAATGCGATAAATATGCATTCTGTGTGAACGGCTTGGTTTCAGTTTTGATGTAAACAAGATCTTCTCCGCATTGATTGTTCTCTTTTTCTGCAATATTTTGAATTGACAACGTAGCAGCGCCGCATCTAGTGGCTTCAACTGGACAGGCTAACAAAAGCATTAAAATGCAATGACACTTACATCGTCGTCGCATTTCGTGCTCCACTGATAAGGCTGGCTGCCTGACGCACACCTAAAATTCGAATGCAACGTTTTTGCATTCGAATGTGGATTTTTATTTAAAATTCGATGAAAATTCGAAATTCAAATTTTTTTTTTGACAGCCCTAATATACATGCATGTATTATTTTTTTTATTTTTATTATTCGTTTTATAAATTGTTTTATTTCCTACATAGGCCTATCTGATCTAGATTCAGTGTAAACACTATGCTTTGGTAATACATTGTAACAATTGTCATGCCAATAAACCCCATATTGAAACTGAAATTGGATTCCCGAGCATGCAGGGGAAAAAATCAAGCGTTTAGAGGTGAGTGAACGCAATGGCCAATCAAAATTGTTCAAGAAATCAACAGGTATGTCTGTGATTGGCTACATTGCTCAGTGCTACGAAAACGCATTGTAAATAGAATCTTTTGATGCTTTCCAGAGCGCAAACACAAATGCGCACAGGAGTGTTTACCAAATCGCCAATATCATATTATTGGCGTTTTAACTGGGGGTGCTTTTGACTGCGTGAGAAAATGGATGTGTGGCGTGAGAGCGTGAGAAAAGTGTCAATTTTGTGAGTCTCACGCTGAATATGTGAAAGTTGGCAGCCCTGCAGTATCATCTAGGTCACACTTTACTCTGCCTCGATATGAATCCTGGGTAGTCAGGTTTAGTGGTCTGCAGATTGTTTTGTTTTTTTTCAGTGGTGAATGCTAAAAGCGATGTAAAGAGAGAAGGATGGTTGATGGCAGATATGAACATGAGCATTAACAAGTCAATGATTGCACGTGCAGGTGCACAGAACGTGTATATATTTATATTTGCTTTAATATTCTGCAATATTAAAGAAATTGAAAACAGCAGTACATTTCGAAAATATTAATAGCCAATGTTGCTAATCAAAAAAATCAAAAATAAAATATATATATATATATATATATATATATACAGTATATATTAACTTTATACACCACTGGTTACAAGTTCTTCATGGAATCATCAATGCAAGAAGTCTTCAAACTCGGTCCTGCAGAGTTTAGCTCCAACCCTAATTAAACACAGCTGAACCAGCTAATTACGGTCTTATAGGTGCATCTCAATAAATTAGAATGTCGTGGAAAAGTTCATTTATTTCAGTAATTCAACTCAAATTGTGAAACTCGTGTATTAAATAAATTCAATGCACACAGACTGAAGTAGTTTAAGTCTTTGGTTCTTTTAATTGTGATGATTTTGGTTCACATTTAACAAAAACCCACCAATTCACTATCTCAACTAATTAGAATATGGTGACATGCCAATTAGCTAATCAACTCAAAACACCTGCAAAGGTTTCCTGAGTCTTCAAAATGGTCTCTCAGTTTGGTTCACTAGGCTACACAATCATGGGGAAGACTGCTGATCTGACAGTTGTCCAGAAGACAATCATTGACACCCTTCACAAGGAGGGTAAGCCACAAACATTCATTGCCAAAGAAGCTGGCTGTTCACAGAGTGCTGTATCCAAGCATGTTAACAGAAAGTTGAGTGGAAGGAAAAGGTGTGGAAGAAAAAGATGCACAACCAACCGAGAGAACTGCAGCCTTATGAGGATTGTCAAGCAAAATCTATTCAAGAATTTGAGTGAACTTCACAAGGAATGGACTGAGGCTGGGGTCAAGGCATCAAGAGCCACCACACACAGACGTGTCAAGGAATTTGGCTACAGTTGTCGTATTCCTCTTGTTAAGCCACTCCTGAACCACAGACAACGTCAGAGGCGTCTTACCTGGGCTAAGGAGAAGAAGAACTGGACTGTTGCCCAGTGGTCCAAAGTCCTTTTTTCAGATGAGAGCAAGTTTTGTATTTCATTTGGAAACCAAGGTCCTGGAGTCTGGAGGAAGGGTGGAGAAGCTCATAGCCCACGTTGCTTGAAGTCCAGTGTTAAGTTTCCACAGTCTGTGATGATTTGGGGTGCAATGTCATCTGCTGGTGTTGGTCCATTGTGTTTTTTGAAAACCAACGTCACTGCACCCGTTTACCAAGAAATTTTGGAGCACTTCATGCTTCCTTCTGTTGACCAGCTTTTTGAAGATGCTGATTTCATTTTCTAGCAGGATTTGGCACCTGCCCACACTGTCAAAAGCACCAAAAGTTGGTTAAATTACCATGGTGTTGGTGTGCTTGACTGGCCAGCAAACTTACCAGACCTGAACCCCATTGAGAATCTATGGGGTATTGTCAAGAGGAAAATGAGAAACAAGAGACCAAAAAATGCAGATGAGCTGAAGGCCACTGTCAAAGAAACCTGGGCTTCCATACCACCTCAGCAGTGCCACAAACTGATCACCTCCATGCCACGCTGAATTGAGGCAGTAATTAAAGCAAAATGAGCCCCTACCAAGTATTGAGTACATGTTCAGTAAATGAACATACTTTCCAGAAGGAATGCTTTCCAACAATTCACTAAAAATGTTTTTATGATGTTTTTTTTTTATTGGTCTTATGAAGTATTCTAATTTGTTGAGATAGTGAATTGGTGGGTTTTTGTTAAATGTGAGCCAAAATCATCACAATTAAAAGAACCAAAGACTTAAACTACTTAAGTCTGTGTGCATTGAATTTATTTAATACACGAGTTTCACAATTTGAGTTGAATTACTGAAATAAATGAACTTATCCACGACATTCTAATTTATTGAGATGCACCTGTACATATTCAAAACGTAATAATCACTTGAATAGCTTGCGCTCACTGTTGTACACGGAAGCAGTTCCGGGGGAATGACGTATGAGGTCAGCTTATCTGTCCATTCCATTTTTAAATATTCCTCCATTTTGTAAAAGCACTGGAAATTTTTACTCTTGTTTTACCCCATTGTCTGTCTCAGCATATTTTGGCAAGTCATTATATTTTGGCTTGCAAAATAAAGATGATTTTCTTTTTCTTAATCAGAAGAGATTTGGAGAAATTTAGTATTAATATCACATAACACTTGCTTACCAATTGTCACTTCCTCTGCAGTGAATGGGTGCCGTCAGAATGAGAGGCCAAACAGCTGATAAAAACATCACAATAATCCACAAGTAATCCATACCACTCCAGTCCATCAGTTAATGCCTTGTGAAGTGAAAAGCTGCATCTTTGTAATAAACAATTCCATCGTTCAGACATTTTTTTTTCTTCAAACCATTGCTTCAGGCTAAAATATGAATTCTCTATCTGTAATCTTGCTTTCTTCAGTGAAAAAGTCGTCACGTCTGAATCAGGAGAGAAATATGCTCAGCTCAAGCACTGTTTACAAGTGAAAACAGTTCTAAACAAATATGTCTGTGATTGAGAGAACAAAAGGGGATGGACTTTTTAACTAGAG